AAGCAACACCAAATCGACTAAGACAATGCATTTCATTTCTTTATTTATTTTTTTATTTTTCGAGACAGAGTCTCGCTCCGTCACCCGGGCTACAGTGCCTCGGCGTCAGCCTCGCTCACGGCAGCCTCCGACTCCCGGCCTCCAGCGATCCTCCCGCCTCGGCCTCCCTCCCGAGTAGTAGCTGGGACTCCAGGCACGCGCCTCCACGCCCGGCCCGTTTTTCCTATATATATATATATTTTTTTTTAGTTGTCCAGCTCATTTCTATTTTTAGTAGAGACAGGGTCTCAAATCTTGCTCAGGCTGGCCTCAAACTCCAGGGCCTCGAGCGATCCTCCCGCCCCGGCCTCCCTCCCAGAGTTCCGGGATGACAACAGGCGTGGGCCACCACCGCCGCCGCGCCCGGCCCGGTCTCTCTAGCGACACCAAACCGACTTAAAGACCGCGCATTTCTGAGAGGACTTCTGCATGGTGGCCAGGATGAACCCCCGAGACCTCATCCCCCCGCCCCCGGACCTCGAGGAGGACGGCGGCGGGCGCTGAGCCGGCCTTTGCCAAAGGACGTCCATCCCGCCCGCCCGAATCCCCCCGTGTGCGCACACGCGGGGCCCCCAGCGTGCCCGGGACGCCCGCCAGCCACCCCAGACGCCTGCACGGCACACCCGGCGGCCCGCGTGAAGATGGAAAGAAGAGCCCGGAGCCCCTGCCCCCAGGTCTGATGGGCCCAGACGCCAGGCGGAAATTCCACATTTCCCCGAAAGGACGTCCGAGCATTTGAGCCATCAGAGCCCCCCAAGACCCCGAAAACCAGCCCCTCAGCGGGACGTCCGAGCATTTCAGCCGTCAGAGCCCCCCAAGACCCCGAAAACCGGCCCCTTAGTGGGACGTCCGAGCATTTGAGCCGTCAGAGCCCCCCAAGACCCCGAAAACTGGCCTCTTAGCGGGACGTCCGAGCATTTGAGCCGTCAGAGCCCCCCGAGACCCCGAAAACCAGCCTCTTAGCGGGACGTCCGAGCATTTCAGCCGTCAGAGCCCCCCAAGACCCCGAAAACCGGCCCCTCAGTGGGACGTCTGAGCATTTGAGCCGTCAGAGCCCCCCAAGACCCCGAAAACCAGCCCCTTAGAGGGACGTCTGAGCATTTGAGCCGTCAGAGCCCCCCGACCCCGAAAACCAGCCCTATAGAGGGACATCCGAGCATTTCAGCCGTCAGAGCCCCCCAAGACCCCGAAAACCAGCCCCTTAGCGGGACGTCTGAGCATTTGAGCCGTCAGAGCCCCCCAAGACCCCGAAAACCAGCCTCTTAGCGGGACGTCTGAGCATTTGAGCCGTCAGAGCCCCCCAAGACCCCGAAAACCAGCCTCTTAGTTGGACGTCTGAGCATTTGAGCCGTCAGAGCCCCCCTACCCCGAAAACCAGCCCCTCAGCGGGACGTCTGA